AAAATCGGGTAAGAATTGTGACCTGTAGAGTGTCCACAAACAATTGTGGACGGACGGACGGACGTCGACAATATACGTCCACATGAAAATGTGGGCGTATAAAAATTTCTTTTCTAAATGGTCCAATAATGGGCGAATCTTGTACAGTTTGTCATAATTTTCATGCCCTCTTTCCGGCTGGGATGAACTGTCATTGACATGAAGATACCTGAGAATGGATTGATATCTGTTTCTGGACATTGGTTTTTTTAATAAATTCATTTCCCAGGCTTTCATCTGTACTCCAATAATGGACAATTTCTGGCAAGTTGATGTTGATCCCCATCAAAATACTACCTCCTAAAAACGTTTCAATATCTTCCCCCTCTACCAGCTTCCATGACGGGTCGGGATCAGTTTGTTGGCGAAGACGGGCATATTTGTTGGTTTCATCTTTGATTTTATTAAAAAAATTTAGTTCTAAAATAAGTCGAAAAAATAAAAGAGGGTCGGCATCAACATTTAAATTATTTGTAGGCCTAAAATCGCCTACAAATTCGTATGGGACAACTGGGTCAAAATTATCCTCTTTCCAAACCAAGTCTTCGGTCGTATCATAAAATTCTTCATCAGAATCGCCATCATTTTCGGAAGAAATGTCAACATCGGATTCTGTGTCTCCACGTAGTCCAGTGTTTTCGATGTCTGCCGCAGTAAAACCATCAAATTCTTCATCAGAATTAATGAAATTATCCCTAAAATCCTCATCGGTAATATAGGCAGCCATTACTTGTAAAATCTCGATAAAAATGAACATAAAGCTTGTTCATGTGACGCGCCAATTTATAGCTAATAAACAAAGGAAATTGATGAAGTTTCGTCTCGCGGACTACGAGAGCGTGATTTCTAATAAAAACGCAAAATACGAATGTGGTTGGTACTGGGCGGTTACAGGCGGTTTAGAGTCGAGAGGAAGCCAAAATGGCGGGCGGTTTTGTGCTCTCCGGTAATGGGTTGAATTCCAGTGCAGTTTGATTCATTGTATCAACTTTTAATTTACGTATCTTATATGATAGGTGTAACAAGTTTGTAACCTATAACAATTCAAGATGAGAAAGGTCTGCTCGTAATAATGCTTTTGTCTTCTATAGTTTTTACTTATTTTTAGCTTTTTTAATGATTAGTACACTCAGTATATTAATTGGACCGTCAATAAATATTAGTGTATATTGTAGCCCCTGTGATGTCATGCGCCAATCAACCGGATTTAGGTTGTAATCAAAAAGTGTTATAGAGCGTCTGCAACATAAATGGCAATGTATCCAATAATTATAATCAGACTGATGTGGAATTGTTATCAAGTGTTTATAGTAAACACTAGCTATAATTTTGCTTGGTTATTTATGTGCTCTACAAAGTAAATTTAAGTACTTACCTAGGAGACTCCCCTAGTGGTATCGTTCTGATGTGCAGTTTCTGTATTTCATCTATCGTACCAATCATCAATGTAGAATCATTAGCTAATGCCAGACTAAAATATAAATACAAATCAAAGTATGGCAATTATATTTTCCTTATCTCAACCAAAAACAATATGCGTTTGAACAAATGACAAGAATTTTGACGAACAGCTGGTTGCCATGCAAGATAACAAACCATTTTGCAAGAGATGGACAGATGACAAGCTAAACAAGCCAACAGTGAGGCTGATGTTCGCCACCGAAATCCCAAAATAAATAGATGACACAAAAAATTTCCACCCCTGACTTCCGTAGTTACTTTCCTAAAACATACATTGCCATAGCCTTTTTCTGGGTTATAAACACGCATTTCAAGTTTCATAAAAATAGGTTGCCAGGCAACGAAACATACGCCCACAGCAGCTCAATCGTCCGGGCAGTCAACAAGAGTTGTCGCATATTTTTACTTTCCTTCGGTGATGAAAAATTTATAATACACTAAAATCTGATTAAGAGTAACAACTCATGAAGTAATTATCAGAAAATCATTAGAATTTGTTTGTTTTTTATAAAGTTCTGCCCCAAGCTAACGTTTAGTATACGAAACATTTAATATCATGTATTTAGCTGTTAAAGTTATCAAAATTCATTGAAAATCAATATACTTGTTTGTCTCAAGACCTTAAACACTGTATCAATTTAAAGTCAATCCTATATTAACTTTGTCCTCTAGAGCATCTACAAGATATTTTGAAGTGATCAAGTACCATAACTCTGGCAGTAATTATCAGAAATCAGGAAGTTACAATATGATATGCGCAAATATCAAAAGGAAACAAGATCTTTGTATTATAAACATGACCTCTAGAGCGTCCACAAGCTAAAAGGGTCGAACAATCAGGGGCCATAATCCATGAAGCTACGGTCCGATACATGCCAAGAAACCGAGATCTTTGGGAGATACACCTATATTTCCAGTTTCATCAAAATAAGAAGATAGGTTGCCAGACAACGAAACATACGCCGAGAGCAGCTAAATGGTCTGGGCAGTCAACAAGAGTTGTCACAAAAAATTTCCACCCCTGACTTCCGTAGTTACTTTCCTAAAACATACATTGCCATAGCCTTTTTCTGGGTTATAAACACGCATTTCAAGTTTCATAAAAATAGGTTGCCAGGCAACGAAACATACGCCCACAGCAGCTCAATCGTCCGGGCAGTCAACAAGAGTTGTCGCATATTTTTACTTTTTTCGGTAATGAAACATTTATAATACACTAAAATCTGATTAAGAGTAACAATTCATTAAGTAAATATCAGAAAATCATCAGAATTTGTTTAGCTTTTATAAAGTTCTGCCCCATGCTAACGTTTCATATACAAAACATTTAATATCATGGATTTATCGGAGATCGTTGAAAATCAATAGACTTCTTCGTCTCATGACCTTAAACACAGTGTATAAATTTAAAGTCAATCGGATATTAAATTTGGCGTCTAGAGCGTCCACAAGATTTTTTGAAGTGATCAAGGGCCATAACTCTGGCAGTAATTATCGGAAATCGCTGAAAATCAATAGACTTCTTCGTCTCATGACTTAAACACAGTGTATAAATTTAAAGTCAATCGGATATTAACTTTGGCCTCTAGAGCGTTCACAAGATTTTTTTAAGTAATAAAGGGCCATAACTCAGGCAGTAATTATCGGAAATTGCTGAAAATTAATAGGTTTCTTTGTCCCATGACCTTAAACACTATGTATAAATTTAAAGTCAATCGGATATTAACTTTGGCCTCTAGAGCGTCCACAAGATATTTTGAAGTGATCAAGGGCCTTAACTCTGGCATTAATTATCGGAAATTGCTGAAAATCAAAGGCTTCTTTGTCTCATGACTTTAAACACTGTGTATAAATTTAAAGTCAATCGGTTATTAACTTTAGCCTCTAGAGCGTCCACAAGCAATTGTGGACGCCGGACGGATGGACGGACGGACGGGGGCGACGACAATATACGACCCAATTTCAATGTGGGCGTATAAAAATCGGTTTAAAATTGTGACCTCTACAGGGTCCACAACCTTGATATACCATATTTTTACACTAATTGAGTATAGAAATGAAATGAAATGGAGTTTAACGTCCTACTGTTCTGCTCCTAACCTGGGCTAATGAAGACGGGCATACGCCATACAGTGTGCTATGAGGGAAATTTTGCCTGGACAGCGGCACTACGGCCTACTCTTATATCGAATTCTAACTGTCAAGGGATCTTTTACGTGCACGCCAATGTGTACACGGGACCTCAGTTTTTCGTCCCATCCGAACGACTAGACAGCTTTCCTTGTCAGCCCCTCCGTCCTGCATCACTGACAAGGGAGAACCACGCCAGAAAATCTGGATGAACTTTCTCGGCCAATGCAGGGATCGAACACCCGACCTCCAGGATAGCGAGCTAGCGTCTTACCCACTTAGCCACTAATTGAGTATAGGGTCCACAAGCTAAAAACGTGATTTTTTCGTACAAACAGGGGCCATAAACCTATATTTCAAGTTTCGTCAAAATCGGATAAGAATTGTGAACTGTAGAGTATCCACAAACAATTGTGGACGGACGGACAGGGGCGACGACAGTATACATTCACATGAAAATCTGGGCTTATAAAAAAAAGAAAAAGGATTTTTCGTACATGGGCCATAATCAAGGAAGTTACGGTCCGATAAGCGCCAAACTCGAAAGGAATGGAGATCTTTGAGTTATAAACATAAATTTTAAGTTTCATCAAAAACGAGTAACCAGCAGTTGTCAGGCAAGGTATGCCCATATTTTTCAAGAGATGGATTGATTAGAACCCAAAAAACGATTTTTCATACAATCACGGGCCATAATCCAGGATGTTATGGTCTGAAATGCGCGAATATCGAAATGAACTGAGATATTTGAGATATTAAGATATATTTTAGGTTTCATCAAAAGTGGATACAAATTGTGACTTCTAGAGGGTTCACAACGTGGTATTACATATTTTTACACTATTTGCGTACAAGGAGAGGCCATTTTGTCACGCAGTTACAGTTCAATTTTCACAAAATTCGAACTTGACTGTCATGAGGGTGTAATGCTGATATATTTAAAGTTTTTTTTTTTTTTAAATCAGATAAAAATTGTTACCTTTAGAGCTGGGTTCCATGTCGGCCGTATATGCCGGTCGGGACCGGGGGCTTTGGAAAATGACCGAAACTGGATCAGACCCGTAGGTCAATTCGCAAGCCGGAAAAATAGCATATTTTGTGCTATATCAGAAAATCCCCGGACACGACAAAACTCTGTGCGTGTCGTGATGTAAACTGTCGGGTATAATAAATTTAACAGTGTTCAGTAGCCCACGAATGGAAACCACTGCCAATTAATTATCCTTGTGTATATTGCCCTAATCACAATCAACAGAAAGTTAACATCAAACAGATTAAAAGCTTAACATTTAATCAATTTATTTAGGTGTGTGTGTTTTGTTTTATAATTAGTAATACTGTGATCATTCTTTAACTTGAGTTGTTATTACAGCATATTTGCCGACTTTCATCGCTCATGCGGCCATATTTACTGTATCAACATCAAACAAATTAAAAACTTTTCTTTGATGTCTTCATTTGATTACAAGAGTTAATCATGTCAACGCTGCGAATGATATATATATATAACAGAAATGTTAGCATTCATCACCAGCTGCTAGAGAAGAACCAGAGCGGCTTCCGCCGAGGCCGCTCGACATTCGATCACATTGCCAGACTTTAGCATGCCATGGTGACAGCCACGAGAGGCGGATCCTACCTCTGTGTCATCTTTGTTGATCTGTCAAAGGCCTTCGATCTTGTCTGGACAGAAGGACTGTTACACAAACTGTCCTTGGTAGGCGTGCATGGTAACATGTACAACTGGATCAAGAGTTTTGTCTCAGACAGACAAATCAGGGTTACAATCGGCAAATACCTCAGTAAAGAGACCGGACTGGATAACGGAACTCCCCAGGGTTCCGTTATAAGCCCAACATTGTTCAATATTATGGTGAATGATATCAAAGAATATCTCGGAAAAGATATTTCGCTTCCTACGTTTGCGGACGATAGCACCCTATGGACCAAGGGTAGTCTATATTCGCAGGTTCAGAAACGTATGCAAGGAGCCTTGGACGGGTTCACCTCTTGGGCAAATGATTGGGGATTCCAGATCTTGTCACCGAAAACTGTAGGTATGCTAGTATGCAGGGATCCCGAGGTTTCCCGGATGTCCCTGCAGCTCAATGGTCAGTACATAGAATTCAAAGACGAAACCAAGTTCCTTGGTGTAATCTTTGATAGGAAAGTGACATGGAGACCGCACATCAAATATGTAGTAACACGTACTCAGCGCATCCTGAACCTTATGAGGAAAATAACGGGACGTGAATGGGGAGCAAGCCGAGTTGCCCTCATGATGATCTACCGTTCTCTAATACGTCCTGTATTAGATTACGGCCCCATGGCTTTCTTAAATGCAAGACCCGTTACACTAAGCAAGTTGGACACGATACAATACAAAGCCATTTGTATTGCCACAGGCTGTGGCTTAGGTGCCAAGCGCGAGTCGTTACTACAGGATGTTGGCGAACTCCTTCTGTCACTCCGAAGGAAGAAACTGACCCTGGGGCATTGGGCCAAACTAAGCCGATTGGGTGAAAGGTGTCCAGCCTTTAACGAAATCTCGAGGTTCAAAAGAGTCGGGGACCCCACCAAGAAGTCATACGGCCAGGCAGTCGGCGAAATGGTTAGGGTCTCGATAAGCTCACCATTAATGGTATAGAGGATACGATTAGGGCCCCCTGGACCCTCCCAGCACCCCCGGTAGATACCACCCTCGTCCAGAGGGTAGACAAAGGGAATAACCAATTGGCGGCCAAGCATCTCTCTTTAGCTCATATTGAGAATAATTGGTCAAAATGGACTCACATTTACACGGACGGATCGCACAACCCTGAGAACGGTACGACGGGCTTCGGGATTTATATCTCGGGGAAAGAGTTACAGGTAGCAAATAGACTACCAAATATGTGCTCTGTGTACACATCGGAAATGTATGCGATCAAAGAAGCCGTAGTGTGGATATCCAGCCAAAGAAATTCAAACTATGTTGTCCTCAGCGACTCACTGAGTAGTCTGGAATCCATAAGAAATCAGAGGTCGGACGCCCGTCCCGAACTGCTGACCCAGATCTACCTAGCGTACGAAAAGTCTCTGGCAAAGGGCAACCAGATAGTATTGACATGGGTCCCGTCGCACATCTACCTTAAGGGGAACGAAGAGGCGGACAGGCTCGCCCTAAAGGGGTCACAATTGGAGAAACCTAGCGTCGAGCTCCCTTATAGCATGAACGAATTTAAAAGCATGGTCGAGTTACGCGTCAGCTCTGAATGGGAAAACTCCCTTGTGGAACTCGACACCTTTAGATTCAGATCCGATGAGTCCTTAAAGGCTAAGTTATCAGTAAATCATCCCAGCAGGAAAATCTGCCGGTTAATAACAAAGCTGAAGGTGAAAGAAACACTCAGATATCGCACATTTAAGCCTATAAGGTGCAGCTGTGGCTCGGACGTGTCTCCTACCCATATTCTAGTAGACTGTGCTCGCCTCTCAGCCGAAAGGAAACCTCTCACGGATAAACTGAGTTCCCTTAACACGGCTCTCAGTGTTCCGAACTTACTTTTTCCAAAAGTAAGCAAACACGAAATCTATGAGTTAATCTACGAATTCGTGTGTGAGATCAGTATCATTGATATGATGATGTGACCCCGCAGAGACGAAAAGAGTGTTCTACTCTGTGAAGATTGGGGGGCCCACCCCAAGACCCAATGGACGGGATCCATAAGTGATCATTCCGAGGGCTACTGCTAGTCGGACGTCCCTAAGTGAAGGGATGTCGGGTATCCTGTAGGGGGCTGTTTTTTTTGTCTTGATTCTGGTCCAGAAACATCGCTGCACCCCTGAACCTAGGTCGGACAGGCGGCGGGGCCCTGGGGCCCAGCTGACAGTCCTACCTACCCCTACCCACCCAAAACAAAGATCGTAACATTTATGGCCAAGCGGACCAGACTGCGCTCGCTCGCACCCCTTTTCTACCCCAAAACTTTCTCCGCTCCTTTCGATGAGATTTTTAACTGCTAAGACACTATGTCTCAAATTAAACTGGACCAAGCCTAATCCATACGGCTTCCTCCAGTATGTTTCTTAGGAAACATCCTTGTCTACGATATCACCTTAGGTGGAAGTGGACGTAAAACACCAGAAACGAACGAACGTAGCATTCATTATAACATTTCAAAATGTTGAATAACAAAAGAAAGCGAGATAATGATATTGCCGTCAATGAATCTGCCGACCTCCCGAGGAAGACAGTTCCGCTCCGAAAAACAAAGTCAGCCGTAAATTCTCTACTAAATGGTCACAAATATTCACGTGGTTAAGATATATTCCCACACAAAAGGTGTATTGCCAGGTGTGTTTTTAATCCATTTTTTTTCTTTAAATAACAATTGCTAGAAGTCACTTTGCTTGACAATGAACTTTTTCGCTGGCCACCATTTTGAAATATGTGCAAACATCTTGACATGTTATCAAGTGAAAATACTAGCACGATATTTTTTGAGCTCACAAAATATCAATACGAGTTAATATATTGATAAGTTTAAGAATTATGTTAATTATTGTACATTTTTATGACTTTGAATTATTTATGTGAGCTAATCATTCGGAACTACTTTTTCACCGTGTATGGAGAAATAGTCAGCAGCCGAATTCGTCACGTACGCAGTGTTGACTGCGAGCGTGGTTTCTCACGCCAGGACGTAATAAATCTTGAGAATGAAAACTCTCAACGAATTAATGAGGATTTCTATGGAGGGACCACCACTTTACAGACATGGAAATCTTGTAAAAACCGACTAATATATACGGGCAATATTGTAAACAAATTAGGAAAATAGTGTACTTGTGATGAATGAATGTATAAATAAATAAATGATGATAATTGATTACATGTGTCCTTTTATTTAAAAGGGGGGTGGGTGGGTATAAATGTCGATGTGAGATTGGATTTTTGTGTGACTGTCCTTGACCCAATTAAAGCCGATCGACATTGCAATAGCATGTAGTTTTTGACTTCTTATTATGTGCTAAAAATAGCACCACTTTCTACGTGAGAAAAATGACCGGTTGGGAAAATTTTGAAGTGAAAGCCCTGCTTTAGAGGGACCACAAGCTAAAATCATTAATTTTCGTACAATCAAGGGAAATATTTAGAAAGTTATGATCTGGTATGAGAGAATATCGAAAGGTTTGGGTAATAAACATGTATTTCAAGTTTCATCAAAAAAAAGATCCTCTAGAGGGTCTACAACCTTGATATAGCAAATTTTTGTCTGGTAGTTTTGGTCTAATTTTCACGAAATTCAAACTCAAACAACATTACAGTGTAACGGTGATACATTCGACAGTTTTTTAAATCGGATAATAATTGTGACCTCTAGAGGGACCATATGCTAAAAACGTGATTTTTTGTACAATCAGGGGCCATAATTCAGGAAGTTACAATATGATATGCGCAAATATCAAAAGGAAACAAGCTAAAAGGGTCGAACAATCAGGGGCCATAATCCATGAAGCTACGGTCCGATACATGCCAAGAAACCGAGATCTTTGGGAGATACACCTATATTTCCAGTTTCATCAAAATAAGAAGATAGGTTGCCAGACAACGAAACATACGCCGAGAGCAGCTAAATGGTCTGGGCAGTCAACAAGAGTTGTCGCATATTTTTACTTTTTTCGGTAATGAAACATTTATAATACACTAAAATCTGATTAAGAGTAACAATTCATTAAGTAAATATCAGAAAATCATCAGAATTTGTTTGGCTTTTATAAAGTTCTGCCCCATGCTAACGTTTCATATACAAAACATTTAATATCATGGATTTATCGGAGATCGTTGAAAATCAATAGGCTCCTTCGTCTAATGACCTAAAACACTGCGTATAAATTTAAAGTCAATTGGATATTAACTTTAGCCTCTAGAGCGTCCACAAGAAAAAAATATGATTTTGCGAAAAATCGGGAGAAATAATCCAATACAGTTACAGTCCAATACATGCCTATATCGAAGGGAACCAATATCTTTGGGATATAAACCTATATTTCAAGTTTCATCAAAATCTGATAACCAGCGGCTGCAAGGCAGTATACGCCCACATTTTTGAGAGATGGATAGAAAAAAAGCTAAACGAAAGTGATTTTTCCTACAATCAAGGGCCATAATTCAGGAAATTACAATTCGATATGCGCAAATATCGAAAGAAACCAAGATCTTTGAGTTATAAACTTACATTTCAAGTTTCAACAAAATCGGATAAAAATTGTGACCTCTATAGGGTCCACAACCTTGATATATCATATTTTTACGCTATTTGAGAACGAGGGGCGGCCATTTTGTCTGTCAGTTTTGGGCCAATATTCACGAAATTCGAACTCAGTCGTCCTTAGGGTGTAACAGTGATATAATA